ATTCGTTCTGTAAGGATTCTCGAGATGACGCGCATTTCCCTTGCTATAAGCTCGGAGATATTCGCGTTCTTCCTCAGTCTCAGCCAGACCGAGATGTGTGCGAAATGTTCGCAGGGCAACCGAGTGTGGTTTGCCGCCATAGTAGTACTTGCATATGCAGTCGACGCGTTTGTTGGGAACCACAGCATTGGCAGGGTTAGCCTTTGCGTTACGGAGCTTGCCAGCGCGATCGGGCATGTCGAGGTGCAGGTTAGACTTATGTGATCGATTTTTTTTGCAGTGCTGCATGCACACGGCGCAGCGTCAATGCCATTGCTATTCGTAGGGACAAGTGTTAGGGGATCTTATGCTCGTTTATGGTAGCCGAGACGCGTCTCGGTCACGGGTTTTTATTTTGCAGAACACGACATAAGATCACATAGAGCGTTTCCTAAATTGGGTCAGGTACATAAGATTGCCTAAGAACACCTAATGCCCAACAACCGGTTTTCACAGGGATATTCAACCTCCTACATACACCTGTGTCTTATTTCATCCAATGGAAATGACTTCAATGCGACTTCACAGAGCATTGGGGCTATAATGTAAGTGACGTCGTCTTACTCATGGATGAGACGACGCTCCCGCGGCGGATGCCGACACGCAAAAACATGATCGACGCCATGCGCTGGCTCGTCAAGGACGCACAGGCCCATGATTCCTTGTTTTTCCACTACTCTGGCCGCGGTGGTCAGATTCAGGACAAGGAAGGAGTTAGCCCCAACGGACTGAATGAGGTTATATACCCGGTGGACTATAAGAAAGCTGGAATGATTGCAGATAACGTGCGGTTCAATTTGAGTTTGCTTACTATGTGCTGATATGGCGGGAGTAGGAGCTGCACAAGATTATGGTGAAGGAGCTTCCGCCAGGGTGTCGGCTGACTGTTCGTCAATTTCTACCCTTTCTGTTCGGAGCGCTGACTCAGTAGCACAGGCTGTATTTGACGTATGTCGCCGCTTTGCCATTCAATGCTGCGCGTATATTCATTTCAAAAATATGATATGAAATAGTCGTGCCACTCCCGGAGCACCGCCCTTGGTATGTTTGTTCTTCCGTCTCTCGTGTCGTCTTCACTTTACCCATGCTTATCTCACAGACCTTCCATCAGCAAATTCCTCTGTAGGTTGTCACGACGTGGCGATGCGTGGCGACTGCGTGAACATGTACACAACGCATTACCACGTCCATAAGCCATTACGACGGGTTGTCGCGCTCACTCCAAGGTTGCGAACGCACTCGCAATAGCGTTGCATGGACTTGATATACACATGGTACATTTGAGCCCGAGACATTACTAAAGGTAACTAATGTAGTCACAATGTGTATATCTACACAACACAACAGCATTGCATTTGTGTTACATTTGCATCGGGGTGCGTCACCTTAGTGCTAGCATTGACACATAATGTCTGGAAGGGACAATGGACCACAGCCCGAACCGTACTCCATTTACTGTCCTGTTTTAGCTGTTATATGTACGACAGTCGGTTTATTATCCATCCTATATAAGACAATGGACAACCATTGTATAAACTACGTATACACTGTCTATTCTATGTCTCCCTATAGTAGGACTGTGAGCATGATGTCGAGAGTGGAATGACACGAGAAAAGGATATGACAAGAAAAGGATATGACAAGAAAAAGATATGACAAGAAAAAGATATGACATGAAACAAGGACGCTCACTTTGCGCTCGCTACCCAGAATTCCACCATTTCAGTTTGTATCACCAGCACCGGAGGGCACTGTAACTAGCTGCGTGAGTTCCGTATCATGAACGAGGAATTGTGTCAAAGCACGACTCACCATCCCACTGTTCGCCCTGAGCTCTCTAGTTGGGAAAGAGTGTGAGTGAGAAAGAGGGAGTGAGAGACTCAACAACGAAAGAATGTTGCGTCTCCGTCGTGTTTTTTATGCCTGCGAAGGCTGATCAATATGCCGAATGCGTTGGAGATATTAGTGGAGTCGGTTTGCGAGCGCTGTGTGAACATTAACAAATTTTGTATTCTTGTGGTGCGCAACGACTAAGCGCGTCTCGGATCTGCTTGGGCTCACTCCAAAAGCACCAGCTCCATGCATTAATATCGACGTCATGCTGCGCATCATAATATGCAATGGCTTACTTGTCGGGCCCACAATCCACCCCAGTGGTTAGCTCAGTATTCTCGTCAATCGCGCTGCTCGACACAGAGTTAGATGCCACTCGTAAAACAAATGTACACACCAGAGGAGAAGACAATAGTTGGGCGACAGAGAACTTTGCCCACGGGTTTAATAACTTTAATTATCTTACCATTATTATGTTAGGCTCCTGACATCGTCTCTACGTCGTAATCCTTACAATACGTTGCTTGGATTGCCACTTTAAGCTGATGGGTTGTGTTTATTGCCATGCATTGCGACGCCGTTGCGACATTTCCGTTTTTATGCAAAGTTGACAATACGTCACAATGCGTGGTAACGTTCGCGGGATTTTCCTGATGTCCTTACATTGTAAGTTGTTCCCATGCACACGTCTAATATATGCTCATCATCGCCGTATAATGGCAGTATCATTCGAATGGGCGCCTCAAAAGCGCCAACGTCGAGCCGCAGACGCTTATGGACAAGGTCTCCTCGGCCGATGTTATATCTTTTGTGGGGTGCCGCGACAATCAGACAATCGCGAACACAAAGCGAAGTCAGCGCTCAAATGATGTTGTTAAATCTATGAGCTGGGTGCGTCCTTTCTCTTTCTGTCCATGTTATCTTCTTTGGCATTGTCCTTGCTTTGCCAGCCTATATGTGCTATAAAGCGCTGATGGCAGTTTGTGGTCTGACGGGACTTGTGACTGACATACATGACTGACACAATCGGATATTTTGCGTTGTATAGGCGTTAATTAAGTCCTTGGTAAATGAAAAGAGCCAGAGCTATCAGGCACTTCTGCAGTCTGTTCGAGGACTACTGAAAGAGACCTGCAACCAGAATGTGCAGTTATCGAGTTCGCATCCAATCGTACGTCCCTTTGCCTTCTCCCTCTTTCGCTTTTACTGTGATTTTATAAGCTGTGACTAACGCGGTGCGCACAGGATACCAGCCTTCTTGTTTTTCTGTAAACCACCTCTACTGTTATGTACAAATCAGAGTGTCACGACTCAAGTACCAGGTTTAAAATTGATGTTATTGTATTCCAACCTCTTTGAAGTAGCATTAAGCGGGCGTTACTTACAACCCGGGTCATCTCATACACCGACGAGGAGCCGCTTGCATCGTTAGACAAGCTACGATCTTCGAAGCGCGACGGAAGGTCAGTGTGTGTGTGTTTCCGTCTTCATTGCGCTGGAAGTCAAGTTGAGGGAAGACAGTAAGTCACCATCTGTGGGAATTGTGCTATCTTCTTCTTCTTCACTGTTTATACTATTGGTTACTATGACGTAGCTTCGCCGTTAAACGATTCAGATGCAGCAGCTGCCAGTACTGCGCGTGTGGCGGATCGGCCACCCATCGACACTACATGGTAATTCCGTCGGCATTAGCCGAGAGCCACTTTCCAGTGACATTCGTGATGCATAGCTACTCTGCAGACACACTAGTATACCGTAACAAAGTACGCTCTTTTTGGAAACTCTACCCGAGTCTGAATAACTTGACTTTCGAAGGCATCTATAGCATTGGGTGCCATGCCCCCCGATCGTACCTGGAGAAGCCTCACGGAGCGTAAATGCCACTACACCCATATCGACGAACAAATCCTCCAGCTGCACACAGAACGTAACACCCTCGCGCCGATCAACTGCATCTCTCAAGGAGTCCTTGCATCCATCTTTATCTACATCTCCCCACTTCGCAGCCCTACAGAATACGATCTCTTTAGCGTCACACACGTATGCCAACACTGGCGCACTGTCGCGCTCTCCTTCCCCTACCTTTGGTCTCGCGTCCCGATGCACCCTTGGTCCTCGCCTCCCTTGGTTCGGATGATGCTCGATCGCGCAAAAGGTGTTGTGCTCGACATTGGCATCGATGCTATGGCGGATGGATCAACGCTCAAAGAGTGGCGGGGAGACTGGGAGCTCGTTGAGGAGCTGTGTCGCGAGGCGCACCCATCGCGCGAGATGCACCTCAACTTGATCGGGGGGCGCATGCGCAGGGTGCTGTTGCACACCTCGCGAAGACAGACGCACTACTTCTGGAGCGTTTCTATCTGCACATGATGACTGGATATGGGGAGCAGCGTACCGCATTCATGCTTCTGGGGAGTCTGCTCAGCAGTGCACCACGGTTGAAGGACTTGAGCTTCAATGCGTGTCGGCCCCCTTGGGATGCACCGATCTTCAAGGATCTGACGAAGCTGAGTTTAGTGGGGTTGATGAAACTGTCGCCTACTCCCGGGGAGCTTTGGTCTGTCTTGCGAGAATCACCGGCTCTCGAAGAGCTCGTCCTTATCGATGTGCTGTCGCGGTTTGGCCAGGTGCCGTTGTCATGGGATCTAGACGCCTTCAGCGCTCAGGTCGTCGACCTCCCGAGGATTCATCACATCACGTTGGTCAAGACAACCTTCGCCGAATACGCTCAGTTCTTTACACGCGTTCGCGTCCCTGCGGATGCCCACATTACTCTGGAGACTAGCGTGCCTGCTCGTCACGACGCTCTGCCCAACGGGCTGACATTATTTCCGCCTTCCTTTTTTTCCTGTCTTCGTGAGGTACCCGAAGCGACGAAAGGTGGAGCTAAATACACAATTGAAATGAAACTTCAGAATCAAGAACTTTCCTTCAAAATTCACGAGTGCAACGTTACCTCAGATGTCTGTGATCGCTCATTGGGTTCAGCCTGTCCTGGCCGCCTCAATGCTCGTGTTACGTTCTCGCCGAGTTCTAGCCAGACCCCCACACCACTGGTAGACGCCTTTAGCTCTTTCTGCATTGGTCCACTCGTCGCTGTGGACACCTTATCGATATGGCTTGAAGGATATCCCGGAGAAATACCGTAGCGTGACGTACTCGCGGCTGTCCCTCGCGTTCGCGAAATATGCGCAAGTATGGACGGTCGGAATCTTACTGGGTTGAAAGATGCGTTATTTCCGGGTGGGAGCTTGTATGACAGGCCAGAAAATCTGCAGGTGGCTGTTCGCCAACTTGAGGAGCTTCACTTGTCACCCTGTGCAGACTCGGAGTTCCACTCGGGTGTTGAAGGGATCGCCGACATGGTCGAGCGACGTGCGAAGGCAGGATCGCCCCTAGAAAGGATAGTGGGGAGAAAAATTGCACTATCCGATGAGGGTCTGGTCAGGCTAAGGTGGAGTGTTACTGAGAGCGTGGCATTGGGGCTTGGGATGATTTAGACCAAAGTTACCAGTATTACTCGTATCTTCAATATTTCTGCCCGCTTTTGTTTGGTTTTTTGTTTGTGCTCTTGATCAGATCCGTTTGAGATCAGATTCGCTCTCGATCCGGACATCCTCAACCATTTTGGGCCATATTCCCGCTGATAAGATAACAGTCCCTGAGCTGGCGCTTTGTTCGTCGCCATCCTTTCCTCCCCTCCTCCTTTCCCTCCCCATCTTCGCACTGTGAATCCTCACAGTCGCACGATTGGTATGTCGTCCAAGTCCTCTAACGTTTACACACGCTTACTTTAGCTCTGTCAGGACTACGGAGTAGGGTTTTCAGTGCGTTCCATATCTATCGCTTTTTGGCCATGAGCTCACGAAAGTATGCTCCCAGGCGGCGATAGCGCTCTTCTCGACTCCACTCGACGTTTGCAAAGAACACCTTTACCTCCATCTCCCATTTTGCTCGTAATTCTCCCCCTCGTTGCATCTGATGCAGGGTTCGC